TTGTTCTGGATATACATGAGGATGTGGATGTGCCTTTGATTCTGGGTAGACCATTTCTTGCCACCGCCAAGGCACTTATTGATGTGCATGATGGTAAACTGATCCTGCGTGATGGGAATGAACAAGCTACTTTTTCTGTGGCTGAACTCGATCATTGTGATATGCCTACTGTCACACCTATGCATGCTATTTCTCACCAGGTACACGAGCCTGTCGTGTACCCCTCTGTGTCTCTCATTTTGCAGGATCCCCCTCTCACGCCTTCGCCGCCACTCCCTTCAACCTCACCGCCGAACAAAAAGGTCAAAGAGGAGTGGCGGCCGAAGCAGCAGGTGGCTAAGCCTGCACGGAAGAAAGGTGGAGACCACTATGAGCTGGTCCCACCTCCTACACCACGACCACCCTGCCATCCGAGTACTCACTCGCCTGCATCTTGCCAGATGGCCAGGTCGAGCTGACCAATGCTGGTGGTTGCACCCGTCGGGTGCATGGCCACCACATGAAGCTGTACCTCAAGAGCTATGTGGATCCGCTCTTGGAGGCACCTGTTCCTGCACCCCGCTGAGTATCCACCATGGGCGTCCAGCTAAAAGACGGTAAAGAAGCGCTTGTGGGGAGGCAACCCCACATAGGTTTGCATTTTCTTTCCTTTTCCTTTTGATTTTTTGTGTTTTTTGAGTCTTGAAGTGTTGTCCAAAAGTCGAATGTCGATTTTGCGCGAAAACAGGTCAAATTCGGGGCTCTAGAAATCCACACGGCCGTGTGGAAGTGGCTTATGGCCGTGTGGAGGCCCTGGAATTTTCACACGGGCAGCATGGGTCCCTCACACGGCCGTGTGGAATTGGCCCTTGGCCGTGTGAAGCTTCGGTGATTCTCATACGGCCAGAATTGTTCCATCACGCGGCCGTGTGAAATTCCTCGGCCAGGCCGTGTCGGCCCACACGGGCGCTATTGCACCTCACATGGCCGTGTGAGCGTGCCCGTGTGGCCGACCCGGCGCCTATATATTTGGACGACACGGCTGCGTCGCCAAAAATCCCTCAATCCCTCGCTGGAATCCTCTCCCCCTCGCCGGAAAACCGCGATTTTGAAATTGTTCGGGCGATTTTCGGCCATTTTTTTGTCTGCTTTTCACCAAACCACCACCCAACCCAATCTTCCCTCATCCTTTTCGGCATTTACCTTGAGTTTGGGGCGATTTAGGCCGGATTTGGGTCACCTTAGGCGATTTCCGGCGAGTCCGACGAGGCTCCGGCAAGCATTTCCGGGCAGATTTTGGGATTTTCATCGCTTCCATTGCCTTCCCCTCATCATCCCCTACACCTCTACTTGTGTCTCAAGGTTTGATTTTGCCCTTTACCTTGTGAATTGTGGAGAATTGGGTGTTAGGGTGTATGCTTAGATAACAACTTTGCCATGTGTGAATTGTGTGCAATTGATTGAGGGGAATGCTTGGTTTATGTGTGAATGATGTTGGGCAATGTCCCCCATGCTTGATTGAGCCCTTGTGTGCTATGAATTTGCCAATTCTATGCTTCACTTAATAGTGCACACAAGGTGTTGGATGAAATGCCTGTTTTTCATATCATTTTGTGGGAGCCGGTTGGGGCCCTTAATGATGTGCTTTGATGGTGTATTTGCTATGGATGTGAACCTTAGGTTGCCTAATTTATCATGGTTGTGCACCCCCACCCAGATTATGCTTGTTTGATCGTGTTTTTGACCCCCGAACTATGGACGAAACCATGGTTCGGCTGTTTTATGCTCTCAAGTGTGGGGGTGTGATTAACCTTTTCTTTGGCTCTTTTGGCTCCACTTTGGGTTGTTCTTTTGCAGGACCATGATGAAACCCGACCTCAAGCACCGGTTCATCCGGGATTTAAAGAGGGGCCCCCACCAGGATCGCTTTAAGCGCGTCCTAGCTTTCTCGTTTGGAAAGCATCATTACTCGTCGAGGAGGGAGTTTGAGAAGCTGCGCTGCTACGACCACTTCCTCGCCATCGCCACCAACCGGCCCTGGCGCCGTCTGCTGTCCATCCGGGAGAAGGTCTACCACGAGCTGGTGCTTGAGTTCTATACGACCTTCAAGCGCGAGGATACAGAGGACTGGACGGACGGTGAAGCAGTCAAGTTCAGGCTCGGCGGTGCGCCCCGCTCCATGAGCTACCACGACTTGGCATTCGCTCTCGACCTCGGCCTGGACGATGATGTGGACTATGTCATCGAGCTCAATGATCCAGTGGGTGTTAAGTTCAAGACGCTGTACACCCGCCTAGCTCAGCCCGGCCAGCGTCACTTCGTTGCAGGGCGGACGAAGGCCAACACCTTGCAGCTCGATAACCGCATTCTCCACCACATGCTGGCAAAGTCCTACACCCCAGCTGCGGAAAGTGCCAGCACCATCACCAGGAGATCCCTATACTTCATCTAGTCAATCCGCCAGGCGGATCATCCTCTCCACCTCGGTTCTGTGGTGGCCAGAACCTTTGAGAAGAGTGCTTCAGAACTGCGGGGCCTACACTGCACTCCCCTCATCACCCGCCTGGCCACCTACTTCAAGATCCCTCTGCAGGGTTGCACAGAGCAGGGGGCACCATTGTCTTTGGCGAAGACACGATCAAGAGCATGCACCTGCTGCGGGTCGAGCGCGGCATCAAGTGGATCGCGGGGTTCCCTAAACCTCAGATCCCAGCGGAGGACCAGGCGGATGTTCCTGAGGATGATGCTGCTGAGGATGTCCATCCCGAGGATGTGGACGATGCTGATGCCCCCCGCCCGACCACCTTCGAGTATGGGGGTAGCAGTTCCACTTTCCCCGGCCAAGACTACTTCACTCACCAGTTCCAGCAGCTGAGTCTCCTGAATCAGCAACTCCTAGACCATCATCTCCAGTTCCAGCAGCAGTACTCAGCTCACCAGGCCGAGTATCAGACCCGGATGGCTGCTTATGATGAGCACCTTGACCGTATGGAGACCCAGCAGGGGGTGACCCTGACTCACATCGAGCGGGAGAAGGTCCGCTCTCGGCGCATGCAGGAGGTCCAGCAGCACCTGCTCCAGTTGCTACCAGGCGAGCATCTAGTCTGGAGGACTCCCTGGGAGGACTCCCCACTTCCACCTCCACCAGCTGATAATGATGATGCCTTCATGAACGACATCGATTTGGACAACCTTGGCAACGAGTAGGCTGTGCTCGTCGCTCCTTTGAGTGTGTTTTTATTTCAAACTTTTCATGTTTGCTCCATGTGTGTGCGGAGCTTGAACTGAGTCTGTCGTTTGTTTTTGTACTTTTTGCTTTCTTTTGTGGATTATCTATTTTGTGGCCATCTGGGCTAACTCTGATCCCTAATGCACAGTGTGCTAGTCTGTTCTTCATGTTCCCTTCGTGCAGAACTGTTCCGTCGTTCCATATGTTTCCCGCTGACAGGTCCACTTCCAGTCTCCCGATAGTATGTCAATCCGGTAACATCGTTCCCCTTATCCTTCCCTCTTCTCCATTGAGGGCAATGTCGAACTTAAGTATGGGGTGGGGGGGGGGGGTTTCTCTTTTGACTGCATTAGATCTGTTTGTATGCTTGGAGCCTAGTCCACTGTCCAAATTTTTAAATTTGAGGGCTCCAAGTACGTGTTTCCTTGCAAATTGCCTGCTCAGTATGCTTTGAATTGACAGTCTCTATAGTAATGTGCAACCTAGGGAGGTAGTGTAGCACTATGGAGGATGTTGGAGTATAAGATTTTTACTATCTAGCTCTCTGATGTGCCAGTTGATTTTGTGAATTAATGGCGCTAAGACCGTTGAATTCATGTGGTAATGGTGACTCTGTTTGGATTGTGTTATGGACTCGTGTATCGAACAGGGTGCTCATGTGGAAAATGAAAAGCAGTTGGTCCTCCATGTCAAAATCATTGAAATCTTAAACATGGGGTAAGCCCAACGTGTGTGGCACCGTTCATTGCACAAAATCGGGTTTTGGAGGAGATTTTAGTGATCCTTAGTGGGGTACTCCCACAAGGTGAAGTGATGCTCTAAAACACAACACCTTACAAAGGCCAAGTGTAACCAATGAAAGGGACTGCAGTATAGTGGCTCAAGTGATAAATATCGAATCCACGGGTCTCTAGAGTTACTATTACTCAGCTTCAGTTTATTATTTAGCAAATCAGATTAAGATGAAAGAACTAAAACTACTCTAGCAAACTACAGTTAAAGTTAATCTAATTACAGGTTGGGAACTCACTTAGGTATGATTCCCCCTAGCCACTAGCCAGATTAACGATTGATGATCTCTAACCTGTTTCACTTTCATTCACAATGCGGAGAATCCTTGACTAGACCTTGAGTCTCGACTAAAGGAACAAGGCCCTCTTGAGTCAATTGCCTAGAGGGACGTATCCTTCTCTAGAACAACTGATCAAGGCGTTCTGAACTAGACTCCCTCTATCGAAAGAGGTTCTCAATCGATACAAAGCGGTGAATCAACCCTCGACTAAAGCAATCGGTCCACTACTATCAATCTATGGTGCTCTATTGACCTAATCAGGTATTCCCTCTCATAGAATCAAAGCAGAATCAATAATCTCGACTAAAGCAGAATTGAATCATGAAAACATGCATAGATTGAATATGAACTCAAGATTATCCAGTCAGAGTACTCATACAATCATCCAATCAAACAAACATAGCTAGGGTTCCTCAAAACCTAAGTGAAGGGAAGTTACTCCATAGAGAAGAGAGAGACTGCAGTAAGAATCTTCAGATGATCAGTCTTCAAGTCCGGGCTTGTTCCTCGAGCTTCCAAGGCGAAGAAATCCTCCTTCTCTACTCCAAGAATGCCCTCAAATCGCCCTCTCTCTCTAGGGTTCGTCCCTTGGGTGTTTGGGATCCAAAACCCAGCTCCCTCTCTTCTTTGGTTCGGAATTTGGCTTAAAACCAGGAAATCCCGACTCGCACGGCCAGGGTGCACGGCCGTGCATATCACCATTCTGGCCGTGCAACTCAAAACGCAGCGTGTCATTTAGTCGAACTTCAGCCCTCTCGCACGGCCAGGGTGCACGGCCGTGCGAGCTTCAGGGATTGCCCGTGCGTGTCCTCGGCATAAGGCGCACGGCCATATTGCTCACGTGCACGGCCGTGCAGCCTCCCTGGTCTGCCCGTGCAGCTTGCTCAGCCTCTGTTTAATGCTTCGTTTCTCCCTCGTCTGGACTCCGAATCAATCGCCGTTTGATCCCAGACGCTCGTAGTCTCGTCCTCTTTCGTTTCATAACAAGCTTGCATGATTCTTTGTCCATAAAGTGAGGTAGAAATCCATTCTTCTTCAGGTCATGCCCGAGTTTCTTCTCTCGAATCGTCAATTGATCTCTGATTGACTTGAAACTTGCGCCTATGCTTCACTTTATGTGCTAGGACCTGAAATGAGACAAAGGAATACAACCTAGCATAAAATAGGCCAAAGACGCAATAATTCAAGCTCAAACAATCAAGAAACAAAGGGGAAAACATGTGCAAATACCGAGTCATCAAATCCCCCCACACTTAATTGTTTGCTTGTCCCCAAGCAAACCTAACTCAAACCAATGCAACTCTTCAGACCTCTATAGCAACAAACACCCCAGATCGTAGGTAGAGGACTTCCTAGATCATTTAGCAACTTACGAGGTCAACCGACACACAAGTCATCTCATAGCTTCTTCGGCGAGAGCACTAGTATCGAGTCGGCATCATGGCAAATAGTGAACAGAGGACAAATGAATTGTGGATGCAGAGATTCTCAAAAACAAAGGATCATGGACTCACATTTTTCAAGGTGCTCTATTTTCTTCTTGAAGATGGTTGGAACCCCTTTTCTTTCTGTTTTGCTTGTTTTCTGTTATTTTTTTCCTTTTTTTTTTTTCTTTCAAGGGTCCCAACCTGCTCTTACCGGCCATGCCAGGAGCGGATGTCTCGAGCCTCGTGCGGGGGAAAGACATGTAAGGGGGCTGGAGGTAGTAGGTGGAAATTGGGAACGAATTCCCGTCTCCCCTTACACACTTTCGCCCTATTCGCACGGGAGACGTTATTTGAAGCACATTTTCGAGCACCTGTTACTTTCAAAACATGATACAAGAGTCCATGACAGGTAGAGAATCCACAACACCACACAATTCAAGGGTCCTAAGATCACTAATTCACTCAATCAACCAACTCAATATGAAGAAGACATGAGACTTCTTAAATGCATCAACATCCTCCATAGTGCTACACTACCTCCCTAGGTTGCATATTACTATAGAGACTGTCAATTCAAAGCATACTGAGCAGGCAATTGCAAGGAAACACGTACTTGGAGCCCTCAAATTTAAAAATTTGGACAGTGGACTAGGCTCCAAGCACACAAACAGCCAAACATTCACCCGCATACATAATCGAACATCCCCCCACACTTAAGCACGACATTGTCCTCAATGGAGGAAAGATAAGGAGGGTAGAACGAAGTTACCAGATCAAGGGTGAATGATGATGACCGGGTCAGGCGGTGCCATCCAGAAAGAGAGAGTAATCAGAACACAAACACCACACAAAATCTCACAAAGGTTGAGTTATTGACTCTAAAATCAAATAGCAAACTGACTCAACCGAGGAGAAATAGAGACAGAAATGCAAACCGACTGGTTGGGTTGCCTCCCAACAAGCGCTTCTTTCACGTCGTGAGCCGGACGATGGCTCCTAAGTTTCGGTCCATGCTAGAACCTCCTTGAAGTTGAGGTTCTCGTCGATGAGGTGGAGTCTCAAGTCACGAGCATGTGGTGTGGCAGGTGATGAAGGCTCATGTACTTGATGCAGATGAAGTCTCCACCCTCGAGACCTCTTCTTCTCTTCTCTCGTCTCATTGCCCCAAACCAGATAAGACAGCATCGAGTGGCCACCATCACGTCCACCAAGAGGGACCGATGTCGATGTGGCCTTAGTCTGGCAAAGAGACACTGCAAATGGGTCCTTGCTAAGCAGTTCCTCGAAGTTTGGTGGAGATATCACATGTAACTCATGGCCGGTGCAAGCCTCTTCCACCTCAACTTCGTCCTCAGCCTGGACGCCAATTGCTTCTTTAACCTCCCTTCCTTCTTCATGTGGTATCACCCCTGGGAAATGATCAAGAACTCCTCCTGCTTCACTTTCGTCATCCTCCACAACTTCTTTCTGCACCCTTTCTTGCTCTTCTTCTTCTAGCACGGATTGGAGAGCAAGTTGCCAAGCAATTTCTTTCATGAGATCTTCTTGCATCTCCTCACTCATGCCCGCCTCTTCAAAGCTCAGTTTGGGGTGTGGGAAGGTGTGGTCGGCTACGACATGACACGCCTGATCATGATCATCACGGGAGCTCTCCGTGACAACTTCAGTGTGTTCCACAATGCCCTTGTAGCCTTCTTCTTCCTCCTCCTCTTCTTTTATGGTAGCAGAAGGGTGATCTGGAGCAGGTTGCGCCCAAGATCGCTCAAGATCATCGACGCTCTTCTTAAGGCTCAGGAGGATCTCATCTGTTTCACGATAGGCCTGGACACACTGATCCATCCTGGAGCATGTTCTCTCACAGTCTCGAGCAAACTGCTCCATGAGTAACTCCAGCGCCGATGGCCCTTCTGGTTGTGGGAGAAATTCTTCTTGATAATGAGGTTGTTCTTGATATGCCCAGGGGTCCGGTTGTTCTCCGTAGTAAGGGGGTTGGTACTGGAACCTGAATCCATAGTCTTCTCCGCCTTGATTGCTCCAGGGAGTCTCGGGGTAATACCACCCAGATGGTGGTGGATACCCCCAATGATTGGAGAAGCCATTAGGATCCATGATTCAGATCTGCACCAACAAAAACAAAAACACCCAAGTGAAAAGCAAGGGTGGAAAAGAAAAGAAACGAAAAACGCTAAAGTAACAAACTTCTGCCTTTCCTAATACTCTAGAAAGTCCCCGGCAACGGTGCCAAAAACTTGATTCGCTAAAACACAACACCTTACAAAGGCCAAGTGTAACCAATGAAAGGGACTGCAGTATAGTGGCTCAAGTGATAAATATCGAATCCACGGGTCTCTAGAGTTACTATTACTCAGCTTCAGTTTATTATTTAGCAAATCAGATTAAGATGAAAGAACTAAAACTACTCTAGCAAACTACAGTTAAAGTTAATCTAATTACAGGTTGGGAACTCACTTAGGTATGATTCCCCCTAGCCACTAGCCAGATTAACGATTGATGATCTCTAACCTGTTTCACTTTCATTCACAATGCGGAGAATCCTTGACTAGACCTTGAGTCTCGACTAAAGGAACAAGGCCCTCTTGAGTCAATTGCCTAGAGGGACGTATCCTTCTCTAGAACAACTGATCAAGGCGTTCTGAACTAGACTCCCTCTATCGAAAGAGGTTCTCAATCGATACAAAGCGGTGAATCAACCCTCGACTAAAGCAATCGATCCACTACTATCAATCTATGGTGCTCTATTGACCTAATCAGGTATTCCCTCTCATAGAATCAAAGCAGAATCAATAATCTCGACTAAAGCAGAATTGAATCATGAAAACATGCATAGATTGAATATGAACTCAAGATTATCCAGTCAGAGTACTCATACAATCATCCAATCAAACAAACATAGATAGGGTTCCTCAAAACCTAAGTGAAGGGAAGTTACTCCATAGAGAAGAGAGAGACTGCAGTAAGAATCTTCAGATGATCAGTCTTCAAGTCCGGGCTTGTTCCTCGAGCTTCCAAGGCGAAGAAATCCTCCTTCTCTACTCCAAGAATGCCCTCAAATCGCCCTCTCTCTCTAGGGTTCGTCCCTTGGGTGTTTGGGATCCAAAACCCAGCTCCCTCTCTTCTTTGGTTCGGAATTTGGCTTAAAACCAGGAAATCCCGACTCGCACGGCCAGGGTGCACGGCCGTGCATATCACCATTCTGGCCGTGCAACTCAAAACGCAGCGTGTCATTTAGTCGAACTTCAGCCCTCTCGCACGGCCAGGGTGCACGGCCGTGCGAGCTTCAGGGATTGCCCGTGCGTGTCCTCGGCATAAGGCGCACGGCCATATTGCTCACGTGCACGGCCGTGCAGCCTCCCTGGTCTGCCCGTGCAGCTTGCTCAGCCTCTGTTTAATGCTTCGTTTCTCCCTCGTCTGGACTCCGAATCAATCGCCGTTTGATCCCAGACGCTCATAGTCTCGTCCTCTTTCGTTTCATAACAAGCTTGCATGATTCTTTGTCCATAAAGTGAGGTAGAAATCCATTCTTCTTCAGTTCATGCCCGAGTTTCTTCTCTCGAATCGTCAATTGATCTCTGATTGACTTGAAACTTGCGCCTATGCTTCACTTTATGTGCTAGGACCTGAAATGGGACAAAGGAATACAACCTAGCATAAAATAGGCCAAAGACGCAATAATTCAAGCTCAAACAATCAAGAAACAAAGGGGAAAACATGTGCAAATACCGAGTCATCATGAAGCTAAACTGTCTCTAGTACAAGTAAAACTTCCACCCGTTGAACGGTTTGCTTACTTGAGGATGTGTTTTTAAGGGCACGGATAGAGCTTCCGACCCCCCTTAATTTCATTGACCCTCCACATGAGTTGAGGAAAAGGAGTTAAAAGAAGTACTCTGGCGAGCGCCAGATGTACAAAAATTGCTCTTGCTCGACTAATAAGGGTCGACCGTGCAAAAGACTGCGGTTGGAACCCCCGCCAAGTGAATGAAAAAAAGAAAAAAAAGTAAAATGAAAGCGAAAAAGGGGTGCCAACGGTGAAATAAAGTGAAAGAGCACCCCGGTACAACGAGTCCTTGGTTGTGAATGATATGAGTCCCTTTATTCATGAACTGACTATCTTACTTCTACTTCTTCTCATGATCCTGGCTTGAGTCTAGAACTCGCATTGAGAGAGATAGGGAGCGTCTTAGAAGACCAGTTGACCTCGTAAGCTGCTTTATGATCTAGAAAGTCCTCTACCGACAATCGGGGTTGTTTGTTGCTATAGAGGTCTGTTGAGTTAGGTTTGCTTGGGGACAAGCAAACGGTTAAGTGTGGGGGAGTTTGATGGACCATTGATTGCACATGTTTGTAGCCCTATTCTTGAGTCGTTTGAGATGTCGATTCCCGCGTTTTAGGCTGATTTCGTGCTAGGTTGTTCTTGTTTGTGATATTTCAGGTCCTAGTACGTGAATGAAGGCTTGGGGACGAGTTTGGAGTCGATTGGACGAAGATTGGACATTTCGCGGGAAGCTGATGGAGCCACACGGGCACGCCTAAAACCTACACGGCCATGTGACCTGGCCGTGTGACATCAAATTGCACGGGCAAAATCACACGGGCCGTGTAGGGCACCCGTTGTGGCCGTGTGAAGGCTCGAAAAACCCACACGGGCAGCCTGGGAATCCACACGGCCGTGTGGCCCTGGCCGTCCAGCATGCCTGGAAGCCCACTAATCGAAATGCTGTGTTTGGACACTCACACGGGCAGCTTGGGAAGTCACACGGTCGTGTGGCCTGGCCGTGTGATCGTGATTTTCTGCTTTTAACCCAATTTCCAGCCACAAGTGAGGGGTTCCGAGTTTTAGAGAGAAAAAGTGCGACCTAGAGAGAGAAAGTGACGAACCTGAGTCTTCAAGTGTCTTTGATCGATCTCCATCACCATTGGAGCCCGGCTTGAGCTTGGAGAAGATCTGATTGAGCGTCAGAAGCAGATTATCATCCTTCACAGTATGGTTTCCGCATCTGAGCTAGATTTTCCATCAATCTCTATGGAGTAACTTTCTTATTCACCTGGGTATGAGGAACCCTAGATTTGTATGTTAGGTCTGATTGTATGAACCCAAGTACAGATTCTATGATTTGATTATATTCAATTGAGGTTTGATTTATTGAATGGCATGAATCCTGATCAAATTCCTGTTGTTTCTGCTTTAACCTAGAAAGAGAATATCTGCCTAGGTTGATAGAGCACCCTTGATTGAAGTTAGGGAGTTGGCGACTTTAGTCGAGGAGCCAATTCACTATTCTGCTCAAAAGTTACTTTGGTAGTGGAGGTTTGGTTCGTTAGGGCCTCAATCTGTTTACTCCGGTGGAGGTTAGTTGCCCGCTGGAGACTCAGATTGAGAGGGTTTGGAGACTTTTAGTCGAGACTACAGACTGTTTAAGAACCTCCCGCAGTATAACTATCATTGAAATTGGACTTGGTAAATTACAATCCGGCTTAACTGCAGTCTAGGGGGAACCATATCCGGGTGACCTCTCTCGACTTGAAAACAACCTTTTCACTTGCTTTGCTTGTTTGCTTATTTGAACCTGCACTAAAGTTTCACCGCTAAATAATAAGAATTCACTGAGTAGTCATCACATCTAGGACCCGGGTTGACATTAAAACCCAAACCCGCTATACTACTCTTTAGGAAGTGGTTACACTTGGCCATTTTCTAGAGTGACAGTAGGAGTGAGTCATTTACTAACTTGAAAAAAATACAAGGTATTGTAGGAGGTCTAAGAGAGGGTGAATAATCATTGGTTACGTGCACTTGCATAACTAGATATGTGCTCTTGATTTAAAGTGGGGCTAGATCTAGGAGGTGAGATACTGAGATTAAATGAATTTTTATTTTCCCTACCATTTTCAATCAATTTTAACTTCTTTGGTTTAACTTGAATTTAAAAAATATTTGCACACATGGAGTAAGTTTGTTGTAATCTACAAAATTATATTCATTTACAATATATTTCGAGAAAATGCTCTTCATATCACTCTAGTAACACCTTCGTTTTTCAATCAAATTCTAAAAAAACTTGCCCAAAAAGAATGAGTTCATCGTGATATATTGGATCCACAAATTTCTAGAGAAAACATTTAGAATCAAATATACCACCCTTGTAAAAGTAGATAACTGATGATAGAAGGCGATAAATGTCAGTTATTATATTCTTACTCAGCGGCGGATCTAGGGTTGGGCCACCCCGTGCCACGTCTCAACCCTCTTCTCGATCCAAAGCTAGTATAATGCTTATAGAATTTTTGAATTTAGTTGTTGGGCCTAGTGTTATTTAAATGTCGAGTCAATGTTATTTGATAATATGATTTTTTGTAAATAGAAAAAGGTGAACATATCCAAACAACTACTCCAAATTTAGACTATAAATTCAAGCCCCAATTATTTTTATTTGAAAAAAATATAAAAACATAAGTCTAAAACTATAAAATTTTATTGAAATGAAAAAAAACCCCTCTAAACTAAAGCTACTCCTTCCCTTCAAAACTAAAAAAAAATCTTCAATCCTCCAAAACAAAACAAGAACAAGGAGATGAACAGACCCGAAATGGATTACTCTGCCAATCCGTCAGGTGGTAGTTTTCTTTCCAATCTTTTGATTAAGAAAATATTTACAAACTTGCTGAGTCATCATTTAGATTGCTTTATTTGAGTGGTACACTAGATCCTAAGCGTTCTTTCCAGTCTTTTGATGAAGAATATTTACAAACTTGCTCAAGAGTTTACCCTTGAGACTTTAAAGCCTATGAGATGCATTCTTTGGAGAACGAGCTACGATATTATGCTACTTGTGTGAGGAAGATGAAGTTTCTTCCCATGGAAATTACTTGAGAAGCCGTCGGAAATAGGGATGGACACACAATACAAATTAATTTGTTGGTTGATTAGTCTAGCGTTGACCTTGCCTATTTCAACGCTACTGATTTAGGCAAAATTGTACATGTTTTTACCTCACATTCTTGAGATGTTTGAGGCGTTTACATCGCTTGAGGTTCCATTTATGCTAGGTTGTGCTTGTTCCAGCATGTTTCGGGTTCTAGCAGGTGAGATTGGCCTTGAGGGCAAAAGTTGAACGATAGGGGGCAAAAGCTTATTGAAGGGAGCAAAAAGGCGAGGATCATGATGGAAGCTTAATTATCACGGTCAAGTCAACTGTGATAAGGAGGCCCAAGCCATGAAGTGCATAGAGACCAAAGGAGTTTTTATGCCTCGTGGGCCTAAACGAAATCATGGTCGCTAGACCGTGAAGACCCAAAATGAGATAATAATAATAAAAAAAAGGAGAATGGAGCACTTGTGTCCAAGATCACAGTCCGAGCTTATGTCCGAGATCACAGTCGAGCTTGTGTCCGAGATCACAGTCCGAGCTTGTGTCCGAGATCACAGTCCGAGCTTCCACATTTTGGTCGTGATATGAGATCGTGAAAAGCGAAGGATCTGGGTATAAAAGGAGGATGGAGCTGAAACTTTGGAAGAGATCCTAGTGAGAGAATACCTTCTTCTTCCACAGATTTTAGAGAGAGAACTGCTCTAGGGTTTGCTCCAAGATTGAAGATTGGGGATTATCACCTTCCAATGGTGATTTCTACCACAAGGAAGGATGCCACATACCACACCATGGTTCTTCTTCTTCTCTTTGTTGTAATCCCTAGTTTCACTATGCGGTGGTACTTTTTTCACTTGGGTATTGTAAACCATAGCTTCAAATATGTGATAGGTTGTATGAATTGAATGTTATGTGTGTGGGTTTTTGTTTAATGCAAAGTTTGAGGTATTTTTAGAATATTTTAGTTGAGTTCTTCATTTCTCATTATCATGCTAATTTGACCTAGTTGGAGAGACCCCCTTGTTTACTAGAGGCTTTGAGAAGCTGGGTTTCTTGTCCATTTGTGTCAATCTAGGGAAATTTAGGGCAAGCCTCAAGTTTCGATTTAAAACTTTAATTGGTTGTTATCTTGTCGTCTGGATTAAGTTCCGAGAGAGTAGTCGTAGCAACCTTAGGTTAAGCGGCCAAGAGAGCTGGTTTGCTAGTTTCATGTGTTGTGCCTAGGCTTATTACCCAAGAGAGTGAAGTTTCCTCACTAGTTGCGCTCTTCTCACGGTGTATGAGGACATTCCTATGGATTGGCATTCTATTCAGTCGATCTTGATATATAGCCATGGGGAGCGATACCCGGGAAAAGCTTTCTCATCTAGATTCTAAACCAATTTACCTTTTTGCTTGTTTTATGTTGTAGACTTTAGTTTCACTAAAATCAATTCTTAGATAACGTTTTGAACGATTGAAGTAGGAGTACATGGACCGGCTGAGTTAACAATTAAAATGCTTACCCTCAACGACACCCTACTAGAGTTTATACTAGGGATCTAGTCGGGATTTTTTATTATGGTAGTTTGAGTGAGTCAAGTTTATGGCACTGTTACCGGGGATCAAGTTACGGTCCTTTATTTTGAAAAACTCATTTGGTGTTAGTCTAGCCTTTACTTTTTGCATTGTTGAGTGTGAATCTTGCTTGTCTTGGCTCTAGTTGTGTTTTGTGAAATGTTTGCAGGAGGTGTATGACCCGAAGTGATCCAACACCTTTGGAGCCACTTAGTGAGAACATCAACCGAACTCTCTAACTCTTGGCTCGGGAGAGGGAGAGGGAGTTCCTGCAAGCATTGGCGAATCGGGGACAACCACAAGTTGATCCCGACGAAGGATTTGAAGTTGAAATAGAAGAGGAAGTTAAATCGAAAGAAGAATTTGAAGTTGAGATGATAGATAATTAACACGCCCAAGAGGAGAATAAAGAACCGAGGACCATGGGCTACTATATGGCTCCACGGGCGGAGGATATTCAACCAAGCATCTTGAATCCACCCATGGCTGCCAACGATTTCGAGATCAAGCTTGGCCTCGTTACAATGACCCAAAACAACATTCAGTTCCATGGACTTAAGGATGAGTCTCCAAGGGCGCATTTCTAGAGATTCATTGAGATAGCGGGAAGTTTGAAGATCAATGGGGTATCCAAAGAAGCTCTTAAGTTGAGGTTTTCCCCCTACTCTCTTGCGGGGAAAATACTCCAATGGCTCAACAATAGGCCATCCCTCTGGATAACCTCATGGGGCGACTTGAAACAACAAGTTGTTGACTCCATATTGTCCACCTTCCAAGAATGCGGAGTGGCGTAAGAAAATCACTCACTTTTCCCAAGAAGATGATGAGACTGGGGGATGCATGGAGACGTACTCTGACTTTTTCCTCCATTGTCCACATAACGAGTTTGGAGAGCCATTTCTTATTGAAACCTTCTACGACGGTCTTTATCGAGAAGATAAGATTCTTATTAACTCTTTGTTTCAAGGGAACCTGATGAATAAGACTCCATATGAGATGATCGCTTTGTTTGAGGATATGTCGACTAAGGGTTATGATTGGGGTTTGACGTGACATGATAGAAGGGAAGCTGAAAAGGGAGTATAATCCATGGAGGCAAATCATCCACTCACCGTGAAGATTGATGAGTTGATATTGGCGCTTCTACAAGATAATAAGCAAGGCAGGAAGCCGGTGATGGCGTCTGATTAGTGTTCAAGTCCCAACCATGAGATTGCGGAGAGCCAATTGATGAAGGAAGCAAGCACTCCGGAAAATCAAGTGAGCTTCATCGCTAATGCTAAAGGGGGTCAACAATAGAAACAACCCCTATTGCAACACTTACAATCCGGTTTGGCGAAACCATCCAAATTTGCATGGTCTTCCCCAAGCAATCCAAGACCTCTTGGTTTCCAAGGAGCAATAGGGAACTATCAACTAAGACCTACTTTCATTCAACAAATGCCACAATTTCAAGGCTCGAACTTCCAACAACAACAATTTCAACCGCAAGGTGGTCAAGGGTTCCAACAATTCGTCCAGTTATTAATAACTTGATTATTTTTAGATAATAGTAGATAGAAACAACGCTCGTAAGGAGTCCTATTGAAACCAAAATTCTAAGAAGGCAGATTCTTCTTTTTTCAGTGCAGTATTTGACTAGGTAGGAGGCTCTCTTAAGCCTTACTCCGATAGTCGCTCTTCAAGTTGATGTGAGCAACCCTACAAGTTTACAAAATTAGAAGACCTAGTCACCACCTTTGTGAGTACAAGTTCTCAGAAGTTTGAGAAGATTGAGCAATTCATGGAGGTATCGAAAAAAAGTTTTCTTCGGTTGAGACGGGTCTAAGAAGTCACCAAGCAAGTCTTCAAAACTTCGTGACCCAAATCGGCAATCTTGTCGCGATCCTCACCGAAAGGCCTAGAGGAGCCACACCTTCCCAAACTGTTTCCAACCCCAAGGATCAATTTTTCGGGTTGAATGTTATTCTCTAAAGGAGTGGCAAGGTAACTCCGGAAGTTGTTTTCCAAGGAGAGACAATGGAAGAGACTTAAGCACCACCAAAGGTCGATCAACAAGAACTCTCGGAAGGAGGGGGTGAAGAGGCTATGATGGTATTGCCGGCGCCACTCCTAGTGGCTGAGTACAAGCCTCCTCTCCCTTTCCCTACAAGGGTGCACAAAGACCATTTAGAGGTAGGCCTAAACGACATCACGGTCGCCCAGACCCTGATAATCTCCCCCAGACTATGAAGACCCTAAATGAATTGACGGACTTATGTTGATATCAAGCTCCGAGCTTCCACATCACGACTGTGATCCGAGACCGTGATAAGCGCGTAATATGGGTATAAAAGGAGGATGAAGCTGAACCATTGGAAGAGAGCCTAGTGAGAGAATACCTTCTTCTTCCTCGGAGTTTATAGAGAGAAACGACAAACCAAGAGAGAAGAGGTGCTCTAAGGTTTGCTCCAAGCTTGAATATTGGGGATTATCACCTTCCAATGGTGATTTCTACAACAAAGAAGGAATTCACATACCACACCATGGTTCTTCTTCTTTTCTTTGTTGTAATCCTTAGTTGACTATGAAGTAGTACTCTTTTTCACTTGGGTATTGTAAACCCTAGCTCTAGATATGAGATAGATTGTATGAATTGAATTCTATGTGTGCGGGTTTGTGTTTAATGCAAAGTTTCAGGTATTTTCAGAATGTTTGAGTTGAGTTCTTCATTTCTCATTACCATGCCAATTTGACCTAGGTGGAGAGAAACCCTCTTGTTTGCTAGAGGCTTTGAGAAGTTGCGTTTCTTGGCCATTTGTGTCTCCCATCTAGGACAATTTAGGGCAAGCCTCAAGTTCCGATTTAACACTTTGATTGTTTGTTATCTTGTCGTCTAGATTAAGTTCCGAAGGAGTAGCCTTAGCAACCCTTGGGTGAGCGGCCAAGAGAGCTAGTTTGCTAGCTTCATGTGTTGTTCCTTGCCCTATTACCCAAGAGAGTGAAGTTTCTTCATTAGTGGCTCTCTTCTCATGGTGTTTGAGCACATTCCAACGCATTTGCATTATATTCGGTCGAGTGAAAGCTGATTCCGCAATGGACATGGAAACAGCAGGGTTGATTTTGAGATTTCAATTTGTTTACTTATTTATTTTGGTTATGTAGGAGTTTAATTAGTAGTTTTAGTTCTCATTAAATTAGTTTTATTGTTCCTACTTAGTTTGAGATTTTGTTTTTTCATATTCCTAGAACATTAGATTTATGTTTATGAGACCTCTATAATTAGAGGTTGGAAGACCTACAAATTTTGTACCGAATATTTAGAAATCAAGTTATAGAGTGTTTACTCGTGTTCGTAGGGACGTTTTGTGCAAATCTTTTTGTAGAGGATTCCAAGAGGTTTTCATGTGTCTTTTGCCAACTAGAGAACACGTCTACTTGTGGCGAGCATATATCCTATTCCCTATATCAATTGCCCCTTTCCACGAATTATGTCTAAATGGTTTAATATACCAATTGCCCTTTGTCACAAGTTGGGATTGTCCGATTGATTCTGCAATTTTCGAGTTCAAAAAGGAGAAATCAAGAAAAGCATAAAAAGACCATTGAAGCTGTGTATTTTAGTCATATCATCCGAGTTCAAGAGTTCTTTTTAGCGACGAAAAGAAGGTTCTTGAAGGTATTGTTTTATCATCGGTTGCTAGAAAAGAAGTAATTGGTTCTTCGTTCTTTTTTTCTGTGCACGTAACTAGAAAATAATTTCTTTTGTTTTTTAATTAGTTTTTTTCTTTCCTATACGTGAGTAACAAAAAGAAGTGAAAAAAAAAATTATTTCTTCCTTTAGTTTATGTGAGTAGGTAGAATAAGAAAAAAAATAAAAGAGTTGTGTTTTTTTGTCTTGGTCTAATTTTTTCCCGGTACTGTTCACGTGAGTAGAGAAATAAAAAAAAATTTCATATAGCCAAAAAGCTGTACGTGGAAGGGAAAACAAATGTTGTGTTTTGGTTTTTTTGTTTTTGTGGTTATTGTTAGCTCTTGAAGAACAAGAATGGAGGAATACTAAGCTTGACATGGTTTCCCCTATATGAGTAACAATCACTATAAACATCGTGATAGCTACGAAGAGGATTATCGAGAACATCTGCAACTTATGGATGATGACGTAGAGATCCTCACTTTTCAAGGCCGAAGTAATCTAGATGCATACTTAGATTGGGTAGAGAAGATGGAGATAATATTTGATTGGTATGAGTGTTCTGAGAAAGAGAAGGCTACCTTTGCTGCTAGTAGGGATGGCAATAAAATCCGGATTGGGATCCCGTCTCCATTCCCGTCGCCGCCAAACCTGTGTCCTCCTCCCGTCACCATTCCCGTCGCCGCCGAATCGGGATCCCGTCTCCATTCCAGTCGCCGGCCGCCCTCCCCCTGCTACTCCTCTGCTCTGCGCCTCCAAGTCCCCACCTCCCCGCCGACGGCCGACGTTTGAATCCACACCGCGCCGCCCTCCCCCTGCTACTCTGCTCCGCGCCTCCACATCGCCGCCTCCCCCCGACTCCAGTCCTGCCGCCCTTCAGTCCCGCCGCCCTCCTCCTTCTCCTTTGCTCCGCGCGTAGTCTCCACATCCCGCCAACGTCGATGGTCCACTCCCGCCGCCCTCCTCCTGCTTCCTCTGCTCCGACCCTTCCCCTGGTGGATGTAAGTGATATTGATGGTGGTCGGTGGATGTAGTAATAATCAACATTTTCATTGCATTTTTTCGTTTCTGCTCCGACGCATAAACGAGCTGTTGATTGAGTTGTTGATTGTGGTTTTGGACTAAATCTCTTGCATTTTTCATTTAGTTAGGCTGTTGTTTTAAAGTGTGATTTGATCATGTAAATGAAGAAGAAAGGGAGATGGGAAAAGAAAGAGAGGTGGTAGTGAAGAAAAAGTGATTGTTTCAATTAGTTAGGCTGTTTGTTTGACGTTCATATCTTGAACTTGGAGTTAAGTTAAACAGAAAAAGTGATTGTTTCATTTAGTTAGGCTGTTTGTTTGACGTTCATATCTTGAACTTGGAGTTAAGTTAAACAGAAAGAGTGATTGTTTCATTTAGTTAGGATTATAAGAAGTCAAATGTGGATGGGAATCAAGATGGCAATTCGTCTCATGATGTGAGTTCGATTAGTCAAGGTGGAGGAAGAATGACAGCATATGATAGGTATGTAGCATCGTTGACTACTAGGAGTGTAGATGTTGAAACTGAGTTGGATGGCTACCTCAAGGAGAAAGTCTTGCCCAAGATAGCTGGATTTGACATTTTATTGTGGTGGAAGGAAAATGAGACAAAGTATCCGACTTTAGCATTGATTTCTAGAGACATACTTGCAATTCCAGTGACTACTGTGGCTTCTGAGTATGCTTTTAGTGCTGGTGGAAGACTAGTTAGCCCTAGCCGCCGCAGACTTCTCCCGGAAACTGTTGAGGTTCTGATGTGTTCTCAAAATTGGTTGCTCAATTCAACCATTACAGGTAGTTTGAGAACCTTTGATTGTTTGATTTCACATATGAACTTTAATACATGTTGTGAGTTATCATATTGGTGGTTACCATTATTTGCTAACTTGCTATTTCATTTGCAGATGGCTTGGAAACAATTGATAAGCTCATGACTTATGCCACTGTTAATGATGATCTAGATCCAGATTGTGCTTCATGTGTTACCGGTATATATACTATTTTAAGCAATATATCTTTTTTAAGAAATTCATCTTCCTTTTGTTGAGACATGTCTAATTTTGGTCTACCTAATTGTGTAGAATGAAGTTCATATTGTGACGCGGAAAGTGAAGCGAAGATGATAATGTTCTAGTTCTCAAGAAGGAAGAAACTTCAATTAATTTGGTTGTTTATGGATAATTTTTGACTTTCTTGAATTTTTTAGATTGATGTTGAACAATTTGTATGGATAGTGTGTGATTTGCTTGAATTTTCTAGAATGGTATGTTTAAGTATGGATAGTTTGTGTTACGAGATTGATGCTTAATTTTCTAGAATGGTATGTTAATTGTTATTTTAAATTTTTATCACAAAACCCACGGGTACCCACAAACCCGCGGATACCCAGCGGGTTGGGTTGGGTTTGAGTTTTTCATACCCAGCGGGTTTTACCCCTGGTTTTTTTTGCCGGATAAACCCATGGGTTTGGGTTTGGGTTTGGCAAAACCTGCCCAACCCGACCCATTGCCATCCCTAGCTGCTAGTACATTCACTCATCATGCTCTTCATTGGCGGACTCAAGAATGCTCTAGGAGCTGACCTTTTAGAGATGAACAACCAACAAAGATATGGAAAGTGATGAAGCAACTCATGAGAAGGAGGTATGTCCCTACACATCGCGAGAAAGAGAGATAGTTCGGTCTTTACAATCATTGACAAGGTTCTAAAGGCTTTGAAGATTATTCTTTGAGATCTTTTCATTCTCGAGAGAGCAAGCCAAGCAGACAAACCACTTATTAGCAGAAGGGACATCTGACATCTACAACATGTGCAGAAAGCCCGTCGAAAGATTGGAAATCTCTTTGCAAAGAGATAATGGAAGGCTTGGAAAGGCTATCAATATTGCAAAGAATAAGAAGGATCAATGGCATAATGAAGTTGATGGCATAATGAAGGGTCAATGGCATATTGTAGCTACACCAAATCTTATTACTTCCCAAGAAGAAACAGAAGACAAAGAAGTAGACGAATTAGAAGAGGCAGGAGAAGAGAAAGAAAAGGTTCTTGTTGAAGAAATTGGAGAGAATGCACAAATGTTGATGACATCTCAAGAAGAACCAAAACCTAAATTAGAAGATGAAGAGAAGGTGTTGCCTATGAAGAACATGATAATGGGTCTTGATGATGATAAGGGGAATGTGCTACAAGTTGAAGAAAGGAAGGTTGAGAAAGGAGAAGTGCATTTCACATGCCTTAGTGAGAAGGAAGAGAACCATTCATTGGATTGTGCTATAATCTTGCCAGAAGAAGTCCAAGATGAGTCGTCACATATTGGAGTAGATTTTGTTATTGGAGATATCATTGAACATCACCAAAATTCGTCCATGGGCATCATTGACATCCCAAGTACTTCACCGACATCAAATTCTGCTATTGAACATGGTCAAATCTCTTATCAATGCAAGTCAATTCAAATGGGAGATTATGGCATGAGTGTTGACTATATGGAGTTCATTATTGGAGATGAAGTGTCATACAAGGAGGCTCATATTTGAGAGAAATGAATAATTCAAGAGTTTGTGGATAAACTTTTCACTCAACGTGCATATTCAAGTTGGGAAATAATGAATCATGGAATAGCATTTATATGTAGCAGCCAGATTTGAGGGCAAATCTTTTTCAAGAGGGAGAGAATGATGTGATCAAGCTCAACCCTCATGATTTTATTCGAAGTCAAATAATCTCTTCATGTGGACCATGGGCCAAGAGAAGAATTAAGAGGTTCAAAAAGAGCTCGGAATCATTTAAGATGGGTGAACATGGCTCCACAAGCAAGACCTACGAGTTTGTTCATGTGAAATTGAATGCCAACATATATAGTTGTCGTGGTCCAAAGATGATGGTTCGAATAAGGAAATATAAGAATCAATTGGGAGCATTCTACCCTAAATAGAGGATGTAAGACTTACAAATTTTTTACCCAATATTCATAAATGAAGTTATAGAGATTTTACTCGTGTTCCATAGGAACGATTTTTGCAAATCTTTCTGTCAAAGATTCCAAGAGGTTTTGATGTGTCTCTTATAAACTAGAGACTCTACGCGTCTAGTCGGACGAGCCATCTACCCTATATCAATTGTCCATTTCCACCAGTTGATTATGTTCGATTAGTTTAATATACCAATTGCCCTTTGTCACGAGTTGGCATTTCCGATTGATTCCGCATTTATCTTTATTTTCGAGTTCAAGAAAAGAGAGATCAAGAAGAGCATAAAAAAGATCGTTGAAGATGCGTACTTTGGTCATATCATCGGAGTTTGAGAGTTCTTTTCGAATTTGGATCATATCAGCTCTACTGTGTACTGGATTCGCCTTTGTTCTTATTGTCATGTATACAACCATTCTACGTTCTTGTACGTACATACCACCATAATATACATTCATACCACATTGTATAATCCTATGTACTACCAAACATTACCATCATGATATGTACCAATAATAAATATCTTAATTATCTTTCAAAATATATCAAAGTGAATGTATTTTTTGTGAAGCACACTCGATCTTGATCTAATTTGTATGTGAAAAAAATTAAAATACGACTTAAAATGTAAGAGATACTAAAGTTCGGATTCAATTGTGTTGGCCAAATATGATTGGAAGATCATTGACGCATAAATTGTATATTAAATTAAATAACAAAAAAAAGATCGAGAGATGATCGATGTGTGAGTCAAATTGTGGGGCCCATATCCTCTTGTTGTGGAGGCGGTAGGTTGAGGTCAAATTCAAGCTCCAGATTGTCTCTTTGGAGTGACGCAGCAGGGGCGGCTGCTAATAATGCTATAGACGTTGATGGTGTCGGAGCATCGCCTTTGGCAGCTGTTCCTTGGACAATTGCAGCATCAGAGGGTTGTCCACCTACGTACGTACAATTGTGAGTGAATATTTATGAATGGGTATTTAGTCATTACTGTTCACTCATGAATTGATGTACTTAGCTTCTTCACACACATATAAACCATACCTGTCGTAGCAACAGTAAGTGTAGTGGAGATGGGTTGTTTGATGGTTTTGATCTGTCGCCTAGTGATGGCTGTGCCGACTTCATAAGTGACAGAGATCTGCTTGCGTTGTTCCTTGTGATGGGCGGGCCAGTGACCAAAGAGAGCATGGTAGGAAGAGAAAGTTTTCCCGCACACATTGCATGGAGGTGGGATCCCTTGCAGGATGCTTCTCTTAACGCTGGGAGGCATCTCTGAAAGTAGTTTGGTTCTATACATCTTGGGCTCCTTTCCACTTACATTAATGGCGGCTGCAGTAGTTGTACTTCCCTCCACTGACTGTGACTGCCACTGCATAAAACAACTATTTATAATAAATTTTATCCACTCATTTGATGATTGCATTGAAATTAAATTATTCACAAAATAGTTTAAAGTAAACACTTCCTTAAGTTTTATGTGGTGTCTTAATAATTATAGAAGGCTTATGTAACATGTTTGTATGATTGATACGTAAGACATAACTATCCCTTCAATTTTAATAAGTTTTATATAGTGTATTCTAATAACTGTTTTATGACGGTGGAATCCAATCTTCTTTAACGTGTGACTTAATAATAAAATCAAGTTACATATTTCACATTTGATTAAATTATTATCTAATTAAGTTATCTTATGGGAGTTTCAATTGTGTACTGCAAATTGATGAAATGTTGAATATATCAAGGTATTTTAGTTCATAATAAGTGAATTAAGTTACAAAAGCATCACATTTAATTAAAATGCAATAAAAAGTTAACTTACCTTATCGTACTTTCGCGCAGTGCAAATTAATGAAATGTTGAACATTATAGTTAATTATAAACTTTACTTAATGTATTTGTATTATCAAAATTTTGTGCAATAT